AAAAAGTCGCCTAACATGTGATGGATTATTACACAAAAAATCATAACACTGAACCATAACTTGCTCGTCTTGCAAGTTCATAGCGACTAACATGTCCCAAATATTTGATTCTGAATATTGAACTGTTGATGTTTGCCTCAAGATATTAACTTGCTCATTAATTATTTCGTTTCTTCGTTCAATGGCGACCACTTGTCGTTCAACAATATCAGATAATCTTTGGGTCAACGCATTACCTTGACCAAGGTAATCTGTAAATGCATCGAGCCTCGTAGTTAGCCTGTCAAATTGTGCATCCATCACATCAATCATTGGGGCTTTTCTTTTTGTGCCTCGAGATGACAATGTTCCAGTAGTACCACCAGATGCAGCAGATGGCACTGACTGAGTACCATCAACAGGACTACAGGAACCATAATGTGGTGGCGACCGGTATGTTGTATCAAACCCTGGCTGAAAAGGGTCGTCCTGTGGTATGTCATCGACATCATCGTTCAAGTCAACCGTTACACTTGGCATACCGATATTTCTATGGGCTTGTCGTGTAGTCCTAGCCATATGGCCTGTCGCCCGATCAACTCCCCATAATTCTTCCATCAAGTCATAGTACCTAATGGAAGACACTCTCCATTTAGCTGCAGCTGGCTTCGCCTGGAAATAAAAACCATGATTATCACCCATAATTATTATGTTTCACTAATTCAATAAATCCCGAATGTTAAAACATTACCTGCAGCAGGTCATGCCATACTTCAGGCTCAGCTGTAAACCGTTTCATGGACTCATCCCACTCAAATCCACTAAGTCCACTAAACAAGTCGTGAACCTCCCGCCATCTATCCTTCAGACTTTTTTGTCTATTTTTAACATTATTTTTCGTGATACCCATTAATCCAGTCTTTCGGAGGGCTTCAACAATATTATTGTATGCTTGGGTTGTCCATAATTAAATAAGAATCTCTATAAATCAGTAACAGCAATAAAGAATAAATTGTAGACCCTAATCCCTAAAATTCTGCAACATAATAATATCCCATAAATTTTGGGATTCCTATCCAACAAAAGCAAAGATGGTAATAGCTAGTATAGTCAACAAATTCTTATAGGAACATTATGTCTCCTAGTGTAGAATTTTTGAAAAAACTTGAACTCATTTTGAGTCCTCTTTTCTAATTCTCCCCCTTGACTGGTTATTTGTGCAAATTCTGTTTCAGATTCTTTTTGTATAAGTTCAGGTAAAGGATGAGAAATTGGAAGAAAAATGGAAGAATCCCAATGAAAAGGTTCAATCATATTCTCCCCCTAAAACAAATCATTGTGAAAGAAAGGTTGATTTTCAAGAAAAGTGGTATCACATGATATGTAGAACCTTTTGGATTTTGGATAGTAACATTTGTACCTTTTTTGTGCAAGAGAATAGCCAAGGAATATGCATTTATGAGATTTTGGATCCAATTTTCCTCTTGTAGGACTTGAGTTATGAACAAAGACTGTACACCTGAATATTTTTGGGTGAATAGACTTCAACATTTTGACTAAAGGAAAAAAGCCTTTTAGATAGTTAAGAGGGGTTAAAAATTAGAGAGGTTTGGAGGGAAGACGATTTATAAGATAGGTAGCAGTTAACATAACTTCTCCCCAAAAATGGTTGGGAACATTTGTAGTGATCATAAGAGAACAAGCAACCTCCAAAATGTGCCGATTTTTTTCTTTCAGCAATCTTGTTTTGTTGCGAGGTATGGTTGCAAGAACTTTGATGGAATATGTCATGTTCCTATAAGTAACCATTAAGATCATTAGCGAAGTATTCCTGCCCCTTATCAATACGAAGGATGTGAATTGATGAGCCAAAAATATTGGTGACAAGTTTATGAAACTGTTTAAAGGTTGTGCTAGCTTCAAATTTTTCTTTCAAGAGGTATACCCAACACACACGAGTATGGTAATTTATAAAGGTTATAAACCATCTGGCTCTATTTATGTTAGGAATTCGATAAGGACCCCATATATCACTATGAATGAGGTGGAAGGGTTGTGATGGTTGATAGGGATGAGAGGGATAATTAGTTCGAGATTGTTTTGCAAGAATGCAATGTTCACACCTAAAAGAAGAAATATTTTTATTGATGAATAAATCTGGATACAAGTGTTTCAAATAATTGAAATTAGGGTGACCAAGAATAATTGAAATTAGGATGACCAAAACGATTGTGCCATAGAAAAACATTTGAATCTGACACGGTTGATAGGGAGATGGTTTGAGGAGAATCCGACTTTGAGGGTGAATTAGAAACAAAGTACAAACCATTGTGTTCCTTAGCATTGCCAATCATCATCCCCAAAGACATCCTAAAAAATACAATGAGAAGGGTAAAAAATTATTGCACAATTTAGATCTTTAGTCAATTTACTAGTAGATATGTGACTGTATTTTAACTTAGGAACATAAAGGACATATTTTAGTTTTAGTCCTGATAGGTTTAAGTCACCAGTACCAACTACCATTGATGAATTACTGTCAGCTACCGTAATAGTGACACCTTTATCAACTTTCTTGTATGACGCAAAGTCAGCAAATGACCCCGTCATATGGTCAGTAGCACCAAAATCTAGGATCCATTCTCCTGTATTTTCTTGTCTAGACACAAGAAAACAGACCATTACCTTTGGGAACAATGTTTTTTGTAGAGTTTGATGGTACAGAAGCTTCATGTTTGAGTTGAGAGAGTAGGTTCTTTAGCATATCCATTTGCTCATTAGAAAAAATACCAGAACATTACTTCTTTAAATCTGTAGAAGATTCAACAACATTAAAAGAGGCAGTAACTTTGCGTTGACTTCTAGGTTTTCAATTTGCAAGTTTTGCATGAATGAGCCAACATGTCTCCTTGGTGTGGTAAGGTTTTTGGCAATGATCACACCATGTCTTGGCCTCTTTAGGAAGGATAGTCTTTAGATCATTTTTCCTAGATACAAGATGTGAGTTTAGATGAGAATCCTCAATTGTAGGATTGTTTTGCAGCATCACTTTTCTCCTACTTTCTTCTCTTGTAACCATGGCAAAGGCTTCCTTGAGAGATGGTAGTAGTTTAAGGCCAAGGATTCGTCCCCTAACTTCATCTAATTCTTTTATAAGTCACTGAAAGAAATCAAATACCCTCTCTTTTTCCAGCATTTGGTCATACAATAATTTATCCTCGCAACATTTTCATGAAACAGTATAAAACAAGTCCATTTCTTGCCATAACTTGACCAACATATTAAAATACTTGATTACAGATTTGTTACCTTGTTGAGTATTATGCAAAGCTGACCTTATTTCAAAGCATTGGGCAAAGTACATCTCTTGAACAGGGGTCCATATTTCATGGGAAGTTTTGCAGAAAAGGTAAGTTCTGCCAATTTTAAGTTCCATTGACTTGATCAACCAAGTCATGACAATGGAGTTCTCTGCATCCCAACTATTGTAGGAAGGATCAGTCATTGGTGGCGCGATAGAAGCCTGTGTGATTCCAGTTATTACTATTGAAGCGTGGAGGACAAGAAATATATGTTGGGCCACTGGGTCGTCATTCTAGTAATATGATAAAGTATTTTGAGGTAAGATCATACTTAAATTCAATATTATTAAGAGAACTACTATAATTCTTGACAATAGATGCTAAATTTTTTCAACAATTTCCACTGTCCAGAGCATTGAAGGGGTGAGCAAAATCAAAGATGGATATAACCCGGCTACTTGGATGTTGGAAGTTACAACTACAGCACAAGAACTTAGTTTGGGTGTTGATTTTACGTTCTGGTTTCAGAACAGCCCGTTCTGCTTCACTGGTGGTATTTTAATTTTGCAACCAGAACGGCCCGTTCCGATTTCAGAACGAGCCGTTCCGGGTCCAGGTGTATTCAAAAAAAATTCTCATCCACATGGATGCCACGTATACATCTACGTGGCGTTCACGTGGCCAAAAGTTAAAACCGTTAAAGCAATTTGGACGGAAAGTCCCACATTGAAACTAATTAATTAATTTGGGACTAAATTGAAACCAATTAATTAGTTTGGGACCAAATTGAGACCAAAAATTAATGAGGGACTAAATTGAAACAAAAAAAGATTATAAGGGACCAAAATAAGGTTTTACCCAATACATTATTAAATACATGATCTAATTATTAGTATAATTTAAAATCAACACCCAAACTAAGTTCTTGTGCTGTAGTTGTAACTTCCAACATCCAAGTAGCCGGGTTATATCCATCTTTGATTTTGCTCACCCCTTCAATGCTCTGGACAGTGGAAATTGTTGAAAAAATTTAGCATCTATTGTCAAGAATTATAGTAGTTCTCTTAATAATATTGAATTTAAGTATGATCTTACCTCAAAATACTTTATCATATTACTAGAATGACGACCCAGTGGCCCAACATATATTTCTTGTCCTCCACGCTTCAATAGTAATAACTGGAATCACACATAAAATATCATGTTAGATTCAAGTCTTAAGGAGAAAGAAACTAAATAATAAGACAACTTTATTTATCATTGTTATCACTCACCTCATCAAAAGCTTCAAATATGTCAAGGCTAGGCTGATGGATGGTGCAGACAACAGTTCTTCCGGTGTCCACAGTGTTCCTGACTGTTCTCATAACAATTGCAGCAGCTCTTGCATCTAACCCAGAAGTAGGCTCATCCATGAAAATGATGGACGGGTTAGCCACTAATTCAACTGCAATAGTCAGCCTCTTGCGTTGTTCAGTTGAGAGACCACTCACACCAGGCAATCCAACCAGCGAGTTCCTTAATGGGTTCAGCTCCACCAGTTCCATGACTTCCTCAATGAACATCTGCAAGCATTTTTCAAATGGAAAAAGTTTGAACAATCAGCCTCTAAGCAGAGAAAGATAGTTATCTAAATGACTAATTAAATCATTTTCACTGATTCTACCAACTAACCTTTCTGGTTTTGGAATCAACACTTGAAGGTAAACGAAGCCATGCTGAGTAGAGCAAGGATTCATAAACTGTAACATGAGGTGAGTGGATATCATTTTGCTCACAGTAGCCAGAGATACGAGCAAATGTTTCTTGCTTCTTAGGGTACCCAGAAATTTTGATGCTTCCTTCAATATATCCACCAGTTTTCCTACCAGCCAGAACATCCATCAAAGTAGTCTTACCAGCTCCACTTACACCCATCAAAGCTGTGAGAACACCAGGCCTGAATGCACCACTAACACCCTTCAAAAGCACCAACTTGTCCTCTTGTACACCCTGTTCCTTCATTTCCTGCCAGTTGAAATTAAAAGAGTTAGAAATCCAAAATGTTTCTGGCTGAAATAGAGTTGAAATAGAAATCAAATAGCTAAAATTTAACTTCGAATGTGATTTACCTGTGGCATGTCAACAGAGTATACAATTTCATCAAAGGTGATAGAATGTGGTTCAAAAGGAAGAACCATTCCTTTTTTCTTTCCATGGCTAGACTCCGCAATAGAATCAGCTTTTCCCGAACTTTCTGTAAGGTCATGTTTGAAGGGATAATATATGTTTTTCTTAATGGTATAAGCATGGAAACAATCAAGAAATGGTATATTGAGTTTAACACTATTGAGGAAATTATAGTAAATCTCCTGAATCTCAGTTCTCTTGAAACCTTGATAATTTTTCAAAAACCAAGATCTTTGGGGTTGGTTTTCCTCCAAAGAAAATTCTTTTCGGAGGGCTTCCTTATCAATTTGGAATTCAGATTGTATCATAATGATCATTAAGGGAAGAGTAAGTTGGAGATTGGATAGACTTTTGGTCATCCTCCTCATTGGATTGGTAAACGGCTCTTTATTAAATATTTAATATTAATATTATATATATATATATAAATGGTAATAAATAACCATCATTAATAACAAATTAATGTGGCCAGAACGGCCCGTTCCGAATCCGAAACGGCCGTTCTGGACTCATTTTGCATGGCTCATTGACATACCCAGAATGACCCGTTTTCAGACCAGAACGGGTGTTCTGGGGTTAGAAAGTAGACCACAAAGGCTAAAAGTGGAATGACCCGTTCCAAAAGTGGAATGGCCCGTTCTACTTTCGCATATTTCTCATAAAATCCATTTTTGGAACGGGCCGTTTCGGGTTCCACTGGCAGCGAAAATACCCTGCATAATCGATTATGCTTGGCCACATAATCGATTATGGCCTTGCATAATCGATTATGCCTCACCCATAATCGATTATGTAAGGTCATAATCGATTATGTGGCCGACCATAATCGATTATGCTCCTTCGTATATACCAAATGAGATCAAACTTACCTTCAATGGAGGAGCTCCTTCCACAATCACTCACCACTAACACCCACCAGCCACCACCAGCCACGTAACGTCGAGAATCAGTCACCAGCCTGTGGAGAACGTGAAGAATCAGTGAGCAACACCAACCACCAGCTTCCAAATTCTGTGAACACACACCACAAAGAGAGCTTCCAACTCTCTTATAATATTATTTCAAACGCACTCAACGCTCCTTCAATAATGGCAGTCAACAATGGCAGAGATTCCTGGCAGTATGCATGCATGAGACAAGGATACAGGGAAGGTCCGTGAAATGGCAGAGATTCCTCTGCTGCATGGCACATGCATGGGAGGGGCATTTTCGGGTTTTCATAAATCCTACGTGTCTTTCACCTCCTTTCTTCGCTTTTGTGCGAGGAGAGCAACAGTGCTTCTCCTCCCTTTTCGTCGCCTTTCCTTCGTTCCAAATCACGGGAAACAAACACATACTTTCCTCGCCTTTCATTCCTCATAAACAGTACATCTCCGAAAACAAACACTACCTTGGTCTTTACACTTTATACGAAAAAGATTTACATTTAATTTCTATGTGAAAAATATTTATGAATTGATTATCTAATAAAAAAATACCAATTAGTTTAGCCAGTGATGAAAATTAACCTTTTAACTTATACACACAGTATGTTATTCTTTGTTTTGATCTTTATATGAAATAATTAGCATCGTTATAATTTTAATAAATGGTAGGAATAAATTACAGTCAACCATTAACCTACTGTAAGGGCAATGACTTAGGGTTGGAAGGGGGAACAAATTAAAAAATAAAATCCAAATATTCTTGAATATTTTTTTATTTTAATTATATATTTATTTAATGTTCTAGATGGTGAAGTATGGGTGAACCAAAAGACAAGATCTTTGATGATGCAACACAAGTGAACCAAGAAAAATAATGGTGTTTACTTATAAATATTCTTAGATCCAAGTTCATTAAACATTTCAATAAAGTATTATATTATGGTAAAAAAGAGGGTGTATCAACACCCAAAGATAATATTATTCATATAAAAATATGGTACTAAAAAAATATATGAAATTTGTAAAATTACATTGGAGTTTAATAAGATATTACATACATAAAATGTTTTTAAGAATTTAAAGTGTAAATGTTTCAATTTATATGAAATCCTATATCATAAATAAGGTAATATATTGATAAGAGTTGTACACTTATGTTGATTAAGTATTGAATCGACGAGTCAAAATAAGTGTTAGATGATGATTGAAGTAATCGTAAGTCTTAACTTTAAATTTTTTTACATAACAATTGGTCTACTTATCAAAAAATATTTTTATATTTGTATTGATTTGATTGTGTTTTAAAATATGTCTGTCATAACATATATAAATAGATTAAAATTAGTATTTTAACCATTACAATATATAGGATTTATATATATATATATAACTATAGTTTTTAATAAATAAATACTTTAAATGTATAAATTTTATTTTTATTAAAATTATATCATATAAATTATATTTAAAATTTATGATAAATAATTTATATTAGATATATGAATATTTTTAACAGTTGACAATTTTTTTTAAAGATAATATTGAGATAAACTCTTAAAAAAACTATCATTAATAAATAAAATAAAAAGCGTTCTCATTTAATAATGATCTCTAAAAACACGTTAGTTTAAGATACTTGTACTCATTAAAACTTATATACATAGATAAATTACTATCTCCTTTTGCACGTTTCGTTTCTTATATATAAACTAAAATGTGGTGTGATTAAAATGTATCAGTCTCTTATTAATTAGTTTTTTCATTCAAATGTGTTATATTCACAAATATGTTAAAACAAGTTTTTATTTCAATGTAAACTATCAACGTGTAATAGATTCTCAAATAAAAAAATTTATAGTTTAGATAACATTTTTATATTTTTAGTAAAATATATGTTTTTGTCGTGTTAATGTTTTGCCACAAATCTTCTCTATTTATTATTATTATTATTATTATTATTATTATTATTATTATTATTATTATTATTATTTTGCTGAATCAAATCTTCTGTATTTTTATTCTTAAAAATGTCATCTTTGCTTTAAATTTTACTCCCCCTCAAATCTCACTGTTCCAACTCTATATATTAAATTAGATTATAATATACTGTTTTCAGAAATGATCTTTCAGTCTATTAGTCGTCCATGAAAATGGCACCTATTATTTCAAGAAAATGACACCTGTCAGTCTCAACTTTCTTCTCTTTTAATTTTAATTTTTTAAAAATTAATCATGCATATGGGCATATGGCTTAGAATTTGGATTCAAAACTCAACTTGGCAAAATCAATTAACTTACAAAATAAGAAATATCTAAGTTATAAACCCTATTTAAGTTGTATCTCTAATTAATATATATAGAACTACACGTTGTTGTATTTAATTTATAGTATTTCAAATGGGTAAGAAGCCTTACGCCGCCTAATTTTATTTTTGTTTACCTATTAATTTATATATTAATATGTGATATAGACATAGAAAGAGTACATTACCCAAAAAAAAAATACAAAGGAAAGAGTAGTTATAAATGTGGACCAATTGATTTATTATATGTAAATCTATCAATTTACTCTCTGTGTGGTGATAACGAGCTTCTCCTCGCAACTGCCTTACACGTCTCAAGCGTGACTACAATTAAAGCATGTTTGAGTTTAATTTTATGTGAAAAATATATATTTTAATGTTTATTTTTAGAAATTACCTGAAGTTGATATACTAATGTAATGCACAAAATGCTTGTTTGTTGTCAGTGTTAGAAATTACATGATTAATGAATAGTTTCAATAAATAAATAATTTGTCTCCTTTGTATCAATTATGAAATATATACGAATCATAAACGTGGCTAGTTTTAATTACCAATTACGTATGCCACAGATATGGAAGTGTTCTTGAAGATATTTGCTGACCAAATCAAATTTACATGCATATATATTAGTATTGTTATTTGTTTTCCTAAGAAGCGAGACCCGAGATTGATTCAAGTCAATAGATTCAGGTCATATGATTTAGTTTTGCAAGCAACTATATTTGGACTGGCCAATTTTCAAAATATATATATTGCGCATATGTTTTAAGAATAAAACAAGTGCATTGGTCAATCGAATACTTTGAAGAAGTTTCTTGAATGAACAATACAGCACTTGCTTAAGTATGCATGAACAATTATGTGTTATATTATTGTTGTTGTTTATTATTTTCTTAAGGAGTATGACCAAGGATCGATTCAAGTCTAATATATTTCAGTTCATTTGACTTCATTATATGATCAACTATGTGCTACAGTCACAAAAAATAAAAGTATAACAAGTAAAATGTATTATATTCATAACTAGCTAAGAACAAAGCAAACAGAAGGCCTTAGATAAAATAAAAATAAAAAAAATCATTGGAACATTGCACGTACACAATAATATATATAGAGAGAGTAGGACATAGTTTAAAAAATACACACATATATATATGATCAAATTTTTCTAAAAATAACTTCAAAAGAATTATTCTTCATCTTTATCATCTATTTTTTTTCTTCTAAAATTAACGAATATAACGAGTAATCTATTTAGCTGTTAAATTAAATAAATAAATAAAAAAGTAGAGAAAGAGTAATTCTTTTAAAGTTAACTTTAGAGTAACTTGGTTATTAATTTACATGTATATAATTATAATATGCTTTAAATATGTTTATACTTTTTTACAATAATACATTTTTTTTTTAATTTCAGTACCTCTCTTTATTATTTTATTTGAAATAGTCTTTGTAATAATTTTTTTTAATGTTAGTTTATGTTATTACATAATTGTTTTCAATCGTTGAAGTAGCTAACACTCCATGACACATCATTTCATACAAAATTTATTTTAATCCTTTTAAATATATCCTATTTCCGCCTTAATCTCTCTAAATATGCTTTGTTTTTATTTTAATTCACGACTCCTTGGCTTTCCCTCCTTTCATTTTTTTGGCATCCATGGAAGTTATCCATTGTGAATTCAACACACAATCAAAATAAACATATTTTCTATTTATTATATGTCTCAAAATAAAAAAATTATATTTAATTTATTATAAAATTTGGTATATAATTCAATTTTACATTGAAAAAGTTGTTCATCAATGCCAACTTATAATATCTTAACATATAAATATTGTAAGTTTCTTTTAATAAATAATATTAGTGTATTTGTGTATACACTGTATTTTAGAGTAATTTATTTAATGGCTTGTTAGGTGATCACTACACTTAACAACTAATTAATAGTAACAAAAAGAAAATAAATTAATTACTCAGGATTCACATACTTATGAAACCTAAATATATATATCATAATATATATGTCATTG